CTGGCTGCAGGCGGAGCTGAGAGCGCATTACACGGGGATGTGTGAGAGCACGAGGTGCTAGAACGGTCCCTAAGACCGCGACTGCTGTCCCTCTGTGTTGACCTCTCAATGCAATCAGCCCAGCCTTTTTTGGAATAGCCTTCCTGATAATGTTCGGGGTTCAGACATACTCTCTCTGTTTAAATCTAGATTAAAGACACATCTCTTTGGCCAAGCATTCAAATAATGCATCTCATAATCTTGTACTGCTGTTGTATCTGATCAAATGCACATTATTATTATTCTTTAGTTTGGGTTAAACAAATCAATTTTGCTTGGTTGGAACAGCAGCTACGCTAATTATGTCTCTATTTGTTTCTCTGTTTCTGCTGGGATTGACATCCCGTAGTAACTAAGATTTACACAAGCTTCAGTCTGGATCCAGAACACCTGAGAAGAGATGATGCCAACCCCTCAGAGGACCTCAGATGATGCCAACCCTGAAACAACATACAGAAATACCACATTTTGCTATAAGTTTGATTGCATCATATAATAATTGCTGTTAATAGTGTTCATATGTCAAAGAAGACAGCCGCTACACTCTCTCTATTTATTTGTGCTTTTCTTATTTCGTGTTCTAAACACACAGCCGGATCCATTGTATTTCTCCCTCTCCTAAAACCACTCTGATATTTGGATAAAAATTTATTATTTTCCACATGATACATTAACCTTTCATTCACCATTTTTTCCATTATCTTACCAATATTAGACGTCAAAGCAATAGGTCTATGATTTCCTGGATTTGTACAATCTTTCCCAGGTTTACGTATTGGAACTATCACCGCCTCCTTCCAACTTTGTGGTAATTTTCCTTCCTCCCAAATTTTATTGTACATTTTTAATAAAACATCCTTGGATAATTCACTGAGATGACTTATCATTAAATAGCAAATCTGATCCATACCTGGAGCTGATTTCCTGGTTTTTCTAAGAGCTCGATTTAACTCTGACTTCGTAAATGTCATATTTAGTTGATCATTATTGTATTCCTCATTCTGTATTATCTCTTTATACTGCTCCAACGTCCTTTCCCTTCCTCTTTTTCCCTCCTCACTATTATTGTCTGATTTATGTATTTTAACAAAATTTTTCGCCAACATTTCTGCTTTCTCTTCATCTTTTACAGCTGTTGTATCTCCATCCCTTAAAATTGGATACCCAAACTCTCTTTTTATCCCATTCATTCTTTTTATCATTCCCCATACTTGACCTATTTCTGTTTCCCTTCCCACTGTGTTACAAAATTTCCTCCAAAACTCTTTTTTTGTATATTTGATGATTCTCCTTACATTTGCTTGCTTCCTTTTATATTCAATAAAATTCTGAAAACTATGATTTTTTTTAACATTTTAAAAGCTTTATTTCGAGATTTAATTGCTTGATCACATTCTTTTGTCCACCATGGTACAATCTTCTTTTTTTTCTTACCTCCCTTCTTTGGAATAGTCTGACTTGCTGCTAACAATATAGCATTACAAATATCATTATTAACCTTATCAACCTCTTCTTTAACTTCAATTTTTTCCATTTCTTGTTCACTAATACTCCTAAATGCCTCCGAATCAGCATTTTCAAAAAAACATTTGTCTACTCCTCCTGTATTACACTCTTCTACACATACATTTACTTCAATCACTATAGGATGATGATCACTCCCTATAGTCGTTTCTCTAAACACCTCCCATAAGCATATACCCGCCAGTGAATTTGAAACAAGTGTAAGATCAATAGCTGCTTCTGTTCCTGTTCTTACATTAATCCTTGTTCCCCTTCCATCATTTAAACATACTAAATCCTTAATCTCCATTAATTCTTCAATCACTATTCCATTCCCATCATTACAATTGTCCCATAACGTGCTATGAGCATTAAAATCTCCGCAACATATGATTTTCCCTTCTAAATGTACAATCAATTCATCCAATACCTCTAGTGATAATCTTTTACATGGATTATAAAAATTTATAATTTTAACATTTCCTTTTTTTTCCAATACTTCTATTATTATAAATTCCAACTCCTTTCCTTTCCCTAAAACCTTATATTGTATTCCTTGTTTTACAAATATTATACACCCTCCCCCAATATCTTCCTCTCTATCCCTGCGTATACTTTCATATCCTTTAATACTAAAATCTAAAACTGGTTTAAGCCAGGTTTCCTGAATGCATATTGTGATGTATGTGCTTAATGTTTCAGCACACTAGGAGGCGCTCAAGATCACTACCGTGTGTATGTTATGTTATCAATGAAGAAAGAGACTTCAGAGTTCTCAGTAAATTAGAAGTGAGTTGACACAGCACTCGTCTCAGCGTATTATTCATGTTATATAACAGATAAGATATAACAGATATCAAAACATTTCAGCCAGTTTATATATATCGTGTATACATTATTTATCTCGTATACGATGCATTTGGTTGAGTTGCGATACAGTAAAGCGCTTCATTGTAGTGCCACGGTGATTAACTCTTCAGCACGAGCAGGACAAACAACAATGCATAATATTAATAACTATGACTGGGACTGTCATATACATGACATTATAATGAGAACACTATTACAATAAAACGCTGTGAATTTTTAGAGTTTAGTAGCCGTGTTTCTGCACATTGTTGCGTGAATAACGCATCCACAAAAGGAGTTCATTCAGAGCCACGCAGACACGTTCATGCATTCGGGGCATTTTGTGCAGATAGCCTATAAGTCGTAATATTAAGGTTATGTTGTATAAATAACGAAGCGTATCAAAGTTAAATCCCATTGATTAAAAACCTGCTATCAAATACTTCATTCTACTGGTCATCTTAAGCGTGTGCAGCTCAAAACAAAAATGCAGAACATTAACTACTGTCATATACATAACGTTATAATGAGAGCACTATTATAAAAAATGTTGTAAATTCTTAGGGTTTCGCTGATGTTTAATGTTAACTACCTTTTAATCAAAACATTATTTTTGTATCTGCGAGGCGTCCGTTAGGTACACATTTTCCCTGTGCGTCAGTAATGGCTGTCGAATGTCTGACTTGACTCTTGGTAATGTATTTTGCCCCCGCCCCCAAACATATGCATTGAAAGTCATAAGGAATTATGGTAGTGAGTGGAGACTCTCATGCTAAAATAGCCTATTGACAGGTAAAATAAATTAAAGAACATAACATATAAGGTGAAGTGAAATAACTGAAAAAAAAACAAGACCAAGGTGGTAGTGCGGCATGGCCACAACATGAAACAACTAGACTTTAGCATCTTACTAACAGTCTGAACCTCCGTTACTAATTCCAAAGCGTAATTTTTTATCTACTAATGGGGGATTAAGCCATTGTTATGCAGTTATTGAAGAGAGAAAAAAAGAGAGAGCATGTGAATGTGAATACCTCATGTATGAGCTGCTTTCCAAAAATATTTTATTGATAAAAGTCGCTTGTGTTTAAATGTCTTGTGTGTGAGAGAGAGACAGATCGTGCTGTCCACAGATCAGTGTATTTTCAAACTGTTTGATGCCATGGACCCCACAAATATAATAATCCCCTTTAGGCCCTGATCTACAGGGGTTCTAGAGGTGCTAAACTCCCTCAGAAGAAAGCAAGAGCACCATCAAATGATGTTGTAATGATAACATATTGGCAAAACAGATCTTGCAAACTATCCAGTGTGTATTTGTGTTTGCGCTCTGAAGAGTGTTAAAGGTTTCTATTTACAATGTGTTTTTGCAGCGCTGAGCAATGTAGCCAATCACAGACATTATCTGTTGATTTCTTGAACGCAATGGCCAGGCAGATGCATTTAAATTAGTGGTTTGGGTGCGATTGGGTAGTAAAACACTTCTTTCTTGAGTGCTACACCACTGATGCATGGTATGGATGGTACACTGTAAAATATAATTAGTTGGGCTTACTTAAAAAAAGCATGCAAACCGATTGCCTTGAAAAAACTAAGTAAAATGAAATAGGAATAGTATGTTGTACTGACAAATGCTTAGTATAGTTTACTTACACGAGAGTTCTAATAACTAAAAAAGAACTGTAGGGGGTACTTGATCCTTTCATTTAGGTTCACTCATGACTTAGTATAGCTACTCACTGACTCCCAGAGTGCATTGCAGCATGAATAAATTATGCAGTTGCTTTGTTTTACAGTTGTTGATTTTATTTGCCAATTTTATTTGCTGTCTTGTGTCAGTAGTAGCACAACAAAAAGAGCAAATAAAATGGTTATTGTTACAATTAATGAAAATAAATGAAATTTAATTGTAACCATTGTTGTGATTCACGTGCTGAATGTTTAAGTCTGTGTGTGTGACTTTAGCATATTACCACACACTATTTAAAGAATATATAAACCCAATTAAATGCATCTCAAAGTATTTATAACAAAGTTCATTAATAAACACACAAACAAAAAATACACTAATGCTTTAATTAGAAGATAAGTCAACGTCTCAGGTTACTTATGTAACCATGGTTCCCTGAGTAGGGAACGAGACACTGCGTCCTCTAGGGGGCACTATGGGGAACACCTCGTCGTGACCCGTGTCTGAAGCATACATTGAAAAAACACCAACAACATGTTGGCCGGCGACAGTTGTATTGAAAATTCACCATTCAAGGTGACTTTGGGAAACGAGTGAATGCAACTAATGAAAGATAACTGCAGACATGGAGGGAATGGGTGAAAAGTCTACTAAGACTATTTTTCTTTTCTTCTTCTTCTGTTGTTATGTTGCACATTAGCAACATATTAGTGCACTGCTGCCTCTCACTGGTTTATTAATGTCATTGGTTCCTTTGTGGCTACTTGAATATTTTAAGTAAGTGTCACTCAAAACAGTAAGTAAATTGTTTTATTTGCCTTGAAAGTAGCTGTAACTTAATAAAACCTAGTAAGTACAACAACTAAGTAAAGATTACTAATTAAATCTAAGTAAGGTAAACTATTGGATTTTACAGTGTGGGGTGCTTTTCAGTTTTGGGTGAACTATCCCTTTAACTATGAACAGAAAGACATCCAGAAAGTGTCCATACTTCATTTAAAACCTCTTTTTGCTGGATGTTTTAAGCACTGTAGCTTACTATGTTGCTTTTAAATAAATGAAACATGGTTTTATTTACACATTTTATATATTTCATACATTTTTAAGTGTGATTTAAATATCCAAATACTTGGAGTTAAAGGCACAAAAAAATAAACAAAGCACGTATTATTCCCATAGAAAGGGATCTTCAAGAAAAATTTAGAACTTTTGACCGATCTTTGATTGCCAAACTTTTGCCCTCTCAAATCCATTAGTGGCTGATCTGTAGTCTGAGATGGCTTGATCAATCTCTTCTTGTGTGTTCATGACAAAAGGCCCTGAAACAAATAAATAAATCCTCTGGTTTAAAAAAATATATATTTTGGATAATGTAGAAATACAGAATGTTTATAGTATAACACATGTAAATATATTTATATGCAATATTTAACTATTCAAATTAGCACTGTCAATTTAACATGTTAATTCAGTGCAAATAACTATAAAGACTACAAAATATCAAAATCTTGCCCCCTTATCTATGTAAATCACATTTGACAACAATGTGATGTATTTTCTCAGCAAATATTTGTATATGAAATACATTTAATTTGATTAATGAATAGTCAAATCATGTAATCATACCCCTAATTCAAAAATACTTGTTCAATAAAATGTAAAATATTACCTATACCATTATAACTTACCATGCTGAACCACAGGTTCATTAAGGGGTTCACCAGCAATTAACACGAAGTGAGACTCTTCAGCTGCCTAGAAATAATAATGAAGGGATATAAAGAGACTGAATTTACAGTAAACCTGAATTCATACAAAAACTACCAGAGTAGCTTCATAGGAATAGCAGGAGGGGGAAAAAACCTTGTTTTCCACTCTGACGCATTCACCATCTGCCAAAACCACTGTGTGGTGTGGCTCAATTGTCTTCAGATCATCGTCTGGGCCTGAGGGAAATTCAAATAGATAGAATGAATTTCACAATCCTATACAAATGACATTTCTACAACCTGGAAATCATCAAAATCAACCTGATAAATCAACATATCAAACACTGCTTTGGCAATCTCATTTCTCAACGTGAGAGTTTAGAGTTGCCATTGGCACAAGATCATAGGAATAGTCTAAATGTCTGTCAGATGTCCAAGAGAGAGAGAGGAAGTGAAAAATAATCGTAAAGCACCTGCTCGAATTTCAAGGACAGAAAGCTGCTAGTGGTTTTGCCTGCAGGAAGACAAAGTTTCTTTTTAACACGGTCTTCATTTGAACTCACCAGTGCATAAAGAACCTGCGAGGGTGTAGATGAAAGCTGTCCAACCTGAGAAAGGAATACTACAATTAAAACATTGGAACCATAATTATAAAATAATAATAATTGTAGGGTTAATGCAGCTAAATTGGGCCTCATTTGAGTGACTTAGCATGAATCGACCCTGTATGTTAATATACAATGGAACCAAAAGTCTGAGACCACCCTTAAAACATGAGATTTAAACTCCCATTTACACCTAATAATAATAATAATAATAATATTATATATATATATATATTATAAACTTTTATATATAAATATTTATTCATTCAATTACAGAACATTATACCATATTATAACATATTAATATTCTGTGTTAGAAGCAAGAGATTTCAGGAAGTCATATACAGTTCCACTCAAACTTTTTCTTATCTTGATGTGATTGTATTGGCCATTCTGAGGCTGCATTTGGACACACAGAACCAGGACCAAAAAGCCTGACTCAACCTCTCTAATCTGCGGTCAGTTTCTGATATTGATGTACAAAAAAGCTTGATACTCATGCCAAAAGGCTACACTATACCTTTAAGAGCACTTTAAAACTCTGTACCATTTATACAAGCACACTTCATGGGCACTCAACTCAAAATCTCTCAAGATGAGCCAAAAGAAGAGACACTGCTTTAGTGACTCAATGGATGAACTATGACTTTATCCACTATTTGAGTTAAAATAACACAGTACTATCTTTTCCCAGAATTGTGTGTAAGGTATGATGTTTCACAGTCATGCATTTAATGAGCAAAATAAAGACTTACTCAAAATTTGTTTGCCTTAACTAGGAAAAATGCCATGTAAACCACGTTTATAATGTTTGTAAGTACTGTACAGTAACTTTGGGATTAATGGAAAATAAAAATAATTAAATAATCATCAAGACATCTGATAATCATTTTTTTACCTTTAGGAATAGGCTGCAAATGCTTTGCACCTTCCTTCAGTACAAAGTCGAGGTACATGGTTGGAGTTCTCGTGTAAATCTTTGACTGGCAACAGAAAAGGCATGTAAGTACCACAACATAATATTTCATCTTGAAAAAATTATGGTTGACAGCAGAAGACTACTGTGAAAACAACATTTTATGTTCTTTATTCATAACATATCCATATTTACCGGATTTTGTCATTGCTACAAGACAAAAAAACAAGGGAAATTGTTCAATATTGTTTAAATTATGAGCTCAAACAGATGTAAAAACATTGTGTGTGAGTTCCAGTGCATATCTGGTTCCAGTAAGCCCAAGTATTTGGCTGACCCACATTTAACTTCAACGCTGCATCCACCCCTCTGCCCTAGAGAAACCCTCCATAACCACATTTTACATTTAAAACATTTTACAAAAACCACTTCCAATGAAGCCTGCTCCGAATTTCCTGCTGTTGTCTGAGAAAGGAGGCCGAGGATGCCCTTGCAGCAGCAATTCGCCTGATGGACTCCAGTATTGGATTGTAAATTGGACATTCTGATTGGATGGAACATTTACAAAGAAGTCGGCCGTTTGGATCAAACATTCGGTTATAGCTGCTCACCATGACTCTAGGATCTTGTATTTTGTATTTCCCGTAAATCATAGATGGGAAAGAGACAGACAGAAGTGTGGGTAATAGTCGTAATTAGGGCTGTGTATCACCAGCAAAGTCACAATACGATACGTATCACGATACAGAGGCCACGATACGTATCACGATACATGACTGCACTGAATTTCACCTCAGCAGAATTTAGTAAAACAGCTGTTTATTAAACACTGCACACTATAGTGCCATTTCTAACTATTGGCAGAGCAGGCAGTTGACCTCTGCATTATGAAGGGCCTCCATAACTGTACCACAGTACGGAATAACGTCACTGACAGCCGTCTAACGTCCCAGGGGCAACTCCCATAGCAATATGGTAAAGTTGGTACTTAGTGCTCGCCATGGTTCTGGCCCGCATTCCCCTCAGCATGGCGGCGTGGGTATACCGTTCCCCATAGCGCCCCCTAGAGGACGCAGTTCGAAGTTCCCTTGAAAGGGAACGTCTCAGGTTACTTATGTAACCATGGTTCCCTGAGTAGGGAACGAGACACTGCGTCCTCTAGGGGGCACTATGGGGAACACCTCGTCGTGACCCGTGTCTGAAGCATACATTGAAAAAACACCAACAACATGTTGGGTTGTATTGATTGTATTGAAAATTCACCATTCAAGGTGACTTTGGGAAACGAGTGAATGCAACTAATGAACAGACATGGAAGACATGGAGGGAATGGGTGAAAAGTCTACTAAGACTATTTTTCTTTTCTTCTTCTTCTGTTGTTATGTTGCACATTAGCAACATATTAGTGCACTGCTGCCTCTCACTGGTTTATTAATGTCATTGTTTCCTTTGTGGCTACTTGAATATTTTAAGTAAGTGTCACTCAAAACAGTAAGTAAATTATTTTATTTGCCTTGAAAGTAGCTGTAACTTAATAAAACCTAGTAAGTATAACAACTAAGTAAAGACAACTAATTAAATCTAAGCAAGGTAAACTATTGGATTTTACAGTGTATATTGAGTTTTGTGATTAGTTCATGTTGCATCCGATTTACAGCAGCCCCGGTGTCCTCTAACACTTTAACATGGTTTAATCTTTCATAATAAATCAATTGTTACTGGCAGTGTGAATCTCTGATGAAATGGTAATTTTGAAATTCCTTAACTCATTTTTTTGTGTTGGAAATGTTGAAAGTCTTGATTTTATTGGGGCATGCAGCACACTGATGATCTGATTGTCTGCAGTAGAAACAAAGCCTTCCTTACAGACATTGGTGGCACTCTTCTGATGACTATTTGCATAGCTTCTGGTTGTTTTGGAGTTGAATGACTATATTATGCAATCGGTGGTGGAGACAGGGTCACTTTAGATCAGGAACTTTTACTAGTTAAATTATCCATCTTAACAGCCATGTTGATATATGGGCTTTTTGGCACTTCTGGATTCTACCCTAAATTCATGTATGATTTATTAGCCCATGATCATATGATTTCCTATGTTGGATATTTGTCATTTATTCATCCATTCTGTGTGACTTTTCAACATTAACAGTGATGGCATATGACAGGTATGTGGCAATATGTAGACCACTGGAGTATCATTCAAAAATGACGAATCAGAAAATTCTTAAATGTATCCTTTTCTGCTGGCTGACTCAATTTTTTTGCATGTCTTTTCTAATTATATTAATTGCTAGACTCACCTTATGTGGCTTTAGTATTGAAAAGTTATACTGTGAGATTTGGGCAGTTGCAAAACTTTCTTGCTTTTCTGCAACTGTAAATAATGTGTTTGGGTACATTGTTATTCTTACATACTTTGGACATGCAGTATTGATATTTTGCTCGTACATTTACTTAATCAGAAAGTGCAGGAAGTCAATAGAGGGCAGGCACAAATACAAACATGTGTACCACATCTGCTTGCATTGATCAATGTGACAACTGCATTTTTGTTTGATGTATTGTACAGTCGTTATGGTTCAAGGAATGTGCCTCAAAGTCTGCGTAATTTCATGGCCCTGCAATTCTTACTCTTACCTCCAATTTTAAATCCTCTTATTTATGGTCTAAATCTGACAATAGTACGCCAACAAGTTATTAGACTGTTTTTCAAGAAACAAGTCGGAATATATGAATGAATATCTCCTCATGTCAAAAGATCTGCGGCTTTCTGTGTTTCAAATTAAAGTTCAACTGGGTTTCAAACTTTCTGTGATTGTGAAAATAGAAAAAGTCTAAAGGAATAATCTTTTTTTAGATGCTTAGAAGATTTATTTCATTCTTTTGTTACTGAGAATATACTAAGACAATGAGCTACAGGAGGCTGTGTGATTACAATGATTTTACGTCTTCTTAGGTATTAAGTGAAGTAGAGGGCCTTATCCAAAAAGCTCTGTACTGCACAGCCTTAACAACACAAGGGTGTGCGAAACAATACAAATGTTCAGAATATTTATTTTTGGGTGAATTCAGGTGTGCTCAATAATTTTTTTGTTCATGTAAAATTAAATTGCTCTGATACAATTCATATTTTAATAAAGTACTACTCAAAAACTGTGTGTGTGTGTGTGTGTTTGTTTCTGTTTGTTGATGGCACATACATTTGCAATACATTTAACAAAACACACTAGTCTGTAAATATTAAACAAAAAGAAGAAATAAGTAGCAGTGTATACATGAAATTTTTTTCTAAGAAAAATGCCACTGTAAAATGTGTGATGTACTGGGATGATTTGTAACACTAAACAGATTGGTTAGTAACACTTATACAGAAGGATGGATATTAATATGTGCTTGATTATTTTGTTAACAAAATTTACTTGTTCATAATGTTTTTATACCACTTCCTTCAGCTTCAAGGAAATTAGGAACAACTATTGAAGAAATACACTACGTATTAAAAGTTTGAGGTAATTTAGGGCTGTGCTCAGAATATTGATATTACAGTACATCATTGTGAGCTCCTGACAAAGCTTGCATCAATACAGCTGCTTCCGTATCAATTCTGCCACACTTTTGAAGTTAGCCAATTAGCACATGAAGCTAAATGGCTGGCTAAATTATGCTGGTTAGTGCTGGTATAGTGCTGATCCAGGTTGGTTTTTGCTGGTGTAGTGCTGGTCTAGCTGGTGGATCAGCATATTCATGCTGTTCTTAAGCAAAATGGAGTTGTTGAAGTTGGTTTACCAGCATGGCCTTGCAGGGTTGAGTGTGAGTAGGCCAGCTGTCTGTATGCAAGCAGTGTTTTGAGGTCAAGCATTTGTTTTTGCTTGCATATTTCTATATTCAACAGATTAATGTTGTAAAATAAAACAATATTTTAAGTATAATTAAAGTTAAAACATGATTTATTGTATTATATGATTATAACTTTGTAATTTATTTTGCGCCCTCTGTTGAAAGTGGTAAACTGAAAATTTTAATCATATTAGTTATGACTACACTGTAAAATATTTCAAGTTGGTTAAACTTAGAAACGAAAGTTCACCTGCTGCCTTAAAAATGTGAATAAACTCAACTTAAAGATATTTTTTGTTTCAACTTGAAAAGCTGTGTTTTACAAGTTATTGTGCATTAGCGAGGAACACCTGCTGTTATTGAGAATTACAGAGGATCAGATGTTGATGTTTTATTGGTTAAAATGATGCCACCATCATGGAGATCAATGTTTGCTTTAGTTGGGCTCTTGACCCTTGACTTCCTGTGTTAGATCTCTGTCTGTAACAATGCATGCGGGGTTGTGAAGCAGAGAGAGATCTGTGCAGTTCAGTAAGCTTTTAGCTTTTTATGAGATAGTCATCATGAGCTGACCTGATTACAATCAAAATAACTTTTTTTTTTATTTTTATGTGTAGGTTTCCCATAATCATTTCTGTGAAACTACAGCATGCAAATGAAGCTCTATGTAGGCACACAGAGACATCAAGAACCAGCATATGAATCTCAACAATGGTGACAATCAACAAAATGCTTCATACTGCAATGCATGCTGGGTAACACCATAGTAAAAACTCCCATCATGCACTGCAGTATGAAAAATTATTGGCACCACTGCTGAGGATCGTATGATAAGTGTTCATGTCTAAAAGCTTGTGCAGATACTACTCGGCAATTACGAGTTCACTTAAAATAGTAGTTATATAGTTTGTTTAATATATATATAATAAATATTTTTTTTGCAGTTCAGTAATGGCAGAATGTCAATCTATAATCCAGATAATCCAAAGAGAAAGACCACTTCATGATTTTTATTCACCATGAGTTATAAGCAGAAAGTGTAAGCTCATCTGCTACTTCAAGGTTTGATTTTGCAATGTACAAATGTTTGCTGTGAAACAATATTGTAATTGCTTAGAAGCAAATTACTTTGAAATATTAAAAGGGTCAAGAGACCAACTAAAGCAAACCTTGACCACAATTATGGTGGCATCGTGTGTGTGTGGTTCTTTTTTTTCAGTTGATTCCAT